ATGCAAAAATTGATTAACCGATGCTACTATTTGAAGCGATGAAGAATATTTAGAAATATAATCATGTTGAAACCGTAGCTTCTCAAACGAAATACTTTTTCGAATAATATACAGCTACTTGATGATTAAGTAGCTAATTGTTTTGTAACAACCTTTCGTTTGTAGCAGTACTTCATGTCACAATTTAAACATTATGATAACTTTTTAAAAGAGCTTAGTTGGAAAAACAATATATACAGCTATTATATGATTAAAGTATCTAATTGACTTCTAACAAAATTTCGTGTTGGACTTCTTTTTATAATCAGCAATTGAAGGTCTACCGCTACATAAAAATCATTGTACTTATTTAAACATTTTCATACATATCTTAATTGATTTGATAACTTATTACAAGGAGGTAAAAGAATTCAATTCTTGAAATGATCCTTGTTCGAAATAAAACGATTAGAGTGAATGAGTACCTGAGTATTTATTAAAAAAACTACGCTTATTTCTTTAATGTTGTTAGAAATTAAAAGGTTATTAGTTGACGAATTTTCTTTTTTTTTCGGCCCTTGCTCGAAATAGATCAGTTACAATAAATGTCTGGCTGAGTAATCATAGAACAGCTATGGTTATTTCATCAATATTATTACAGATCAAAAGGGTATTAGTTGACGAATTGTTGTCATTTTTGGTCCTTGCTCGAAATATATCAGTTAGAAGACAGGAGTAGCTGAATATTTCATTAAACAGCTACACTTTTTTCTCCAGTATCATAAGAGATTAAAAAGTTATTCGTTGACAAATTTTCTTTTTTTTCCCCACACGACTAATGCATGATGCGATAAATGTCTAGATAGTTTATCGATGAACTATAAGAAGTATAATCGATGTCCTTTAAAAATCTTTATAATACTTTGTCTTTCATGTCGAAAAAGAAAATATTACAAAAACCAATATTATCAATATTGCCAACAAGTTCGTTTTTGAACATTTTAACATCTATCTTTCACATTAATATTCTAAACATATAGAATAAACAGAACTTTATCCTTGAAGTATATGAACAAAGATGTGAAAAAGGATTGAAATAAACATAATCTTAGTCCTCCTTTTTTTTTCTTTTTTTTGGTCGGGTAGGCGTTTTCTGCTAGCGTAACTAGAATAGCTGTTTTTTGATTGAATGATCAAAGTTTAGATGTAAATATTGTGCTATTTATCAACAAAAGAACTCTATTAATCCATAGCAACATGTTTCAGGCATATTATGATTGATTATTGAATCATCTATGTGATTCATTATATTTTATCCGCTATTCTTACGGTGATCATATATAAATGACTTTCCGAGAGATTAATATTTATCACAGTTTTTGTTGATAGCATTTTATATTGAATCGTAAGAAAGACAATGTCCACATAAGTCTATTTATCGAGTTTTCTGTGAATAAACAGATCTTGTTAATAAAAATCAGAATCAAAACAAATAGTTGATATAAAAAACTCAACGACAATAAATTATTAAAAGAGTGAAAAAAATATCAATAACTTCGTTGAAAGACTATAATTGACTGCTATTCAAACAATATATATTGTCTAATCTTTCGAATTTCTCGCCTTTCAAAACTCAACGAGATTTCGACAGACTATACTGACCAATTCTAAAAATTTCTAAAATCAATTAAATTTTAATAGAATACAGTAGCAAACTCTACACCTTCCTATATTTTATTTAGATTTGCATAGAAAGACGTGGCGAACTCTACATCTTCCTAAATTTTAGTTAGATTTGCATTGAA